AGAAAAAGGGAGAGAAGAAGAGGGAAACGACGGATCGAAGGAGAGAGTGGGGGTGCAAAGGAACAGGACTCCAGGGGCTCGTTGCCACCCCATTATAGCGTTTGCTCTTCCATTTCGCCATGCGAAATGGCGAAAGCGCGTGCCCAGCTTTTCCTGCGGCTCCGCGACGCCCTCGGTCACCACGGCCACCCCACGCCAGCGATTCTGTACGCTCTAACCGATGCTTCTGCGAGCCGCGCGGGTACCATTCGTCAACAGTATCACAATTACCTCTATTGTGCCGTGAAACATTTGTATATTGCATATCAAATGTCTTCGACGCGACTCGAGCGAAGAAATCAACGGCGACTTGTGATTTAGTTCTCCGGGGTGGTTCGGTTGAAAGCGAAAATATGGGGTATGTCGGGGAGAGATAGCCCACTTTTTTAAGAACTAATTCATCGTACATATTATTGATAGCTGACAGAAAGTAAAATATTATTGATAGGTAACGAAAAATAAATGTATCTCCATAAGAAGAATAGTTAGATAGGTCTTTGTACAAGACACACTATACCAGTCAGAACAATTGAAAATATTTGACAATTTTAATGAGATCTGGCAATCTCACTCCGAATTACCCTATAAACAGATGCAAGAAAAGGTTCATCAAACCGTTCGTGAAGAATAGACAAATGTTAAAGAAAAGTTCAAGTTTATGGTTTATTCTAAAGATTAATGTTTTGTTATAAAACAAGAATAGAAGAAATAAAAATGTTTAGTTACACGTCGCCTGTTATTTCTTGTACCTGGTAGCAGTATTGGATTAATGATGCCTATAATTAGATCTTTAAGAATTAAATAGAACGAAATATGATTGTAATGTTTAGTATTGGTTAAGCCCAAATGTACACGAGCGATTTGCAAAACTTGAAACTATCAACGGTCAAATCGACATTGCTATGTGAATATTGACATGAAGGACAGAAAAGAGATATACTTGGAAAGAAATTCCTAATAACCATACAATAAAAAAATAGTAAAAGATAACCTTTCGTTTCACTTCTATTCTATCAAAAGAGGTCGAAAACTTTAACCAATTAAAGGTCATTAACACATTCGGTTATATCAAAGGAAATATAATATGTATTGAAAGCTTAGTTTCCAAACCACAGAAATAAACAAATTCGATTTACATATCCCTTCCTCAAAATAGAACACCTCCAAAACCAAGTAACTGATTACAAAGTTAACTGAATCGCACTAATCAATATCAGCACGATTGCACGCGCCATACTTATCTAAGCACTTGCAGATATCAACGAGATTGCCCATTCGCAAATGTTACCAACCAATCTAAGAACTTTCATAGAATCACGACCTCAAACATCCTAGTGGATATAGCATTGTTTATCTGTCACATATTCACTCAGCCTAACGGTTTAAGCGTCAACGGATGCTACTTCGAGCAAACAAAGTCTACCCAGAGAAACACCGAGAAGAAAAATTAGGGGAAAGGGCGGAATAAATTCTATGTGGTTTACTTCAAAATGTGGTTCCATAGGACATCCAAACAAATATCTAAGTACTGAAAAGGTTAACCCTTTGCACTCGATTTATTTCAGTAACTCACAGCAGTGGAACTCAACATTTTATATTTATTTTACTTATTATTATTATTATAATAAAATTTAATTTTTATAATCTTTTAAAATATAACAAATTTATATTGTCATATCCAGCATGACATACGAATATAAAGGGTTAAAGACAGTCTTTCGTTAAACAATTAGGAACAACTGATACGAAATCAGCGACAACGATCAGATGAGTATTTACCCACCTCAACGAAGTGTACAGGCTAGGTATATACCCCAAAATCGTGGCTTTCGTGTATATGTACACAGAACGCTAGGTGACCAGAAGAGTCCCTTGGACCGTCCTTCACCTTATTATTGTATTGCTGTGCGACACCGACTCGATTGTCAGTTCTCAGGGTTCACAGCAAGACCCAGCGAACACTGTAAAAGGTTCGGACACACCGTTTGCGACCCGTTTCCGTTCTAAACACGGGGCGTGTTTCTTTTAAAAGGTAAATACCCAGCACACGAACGGTTTCCGGAAACCGTTTCTATCAACGAACTACTACATGATCCTCCGTGCCCGGCGTCCATTTTAATTGAAGTTTATTGTTGGCAAAACAAATCTCCCGACTAGTTTTATGGCATAATCCTAGCGACGATGAACGAACAACAACTGCCCCGCCTATTTGCCGAAAACATTTCGTAAACACCGACTATACCGTGACAGCGGTAATAAAACTGTTTACGGTAAGGTAAGTAGAATTAGACGCAATTTTTGGGATTACGTTTACTTGCCTGGAGGACCGTAGAATGATACATATTCTATGATCGAAGTTTGCGCTGTCTTTGATCGAGAAATGTGAGGTTTTGAATGCGGTCGCTGTCCTAATTATGAAATATTGAGATATTTGATCTTTGGAAGTTTCAATGAGTTTCAGCTTACGATAGAACGGAATAGCCGATGTTCGAAATAAGAACGTCGAATAGGAAGAAACGTTAAACTCTCAAATTTCCGACTTTGCACACTTTTTAACAGTTGAACGAAGCATGAAATATTGTCATTACGAGAATCTGAAAGAAATATTCAATATTGACTTTTAACGATAACGCGAAGGCAATGTTATATAACTGTTCTGTCGAAAATTGCGTTTTTGTGCCTGTTCGCTTTTTCCCCCATTTTAGGAGTTTCAAACAGATTACAAAGAAAAGGAAAATTACAACGGTTAAATAGTGATCGAATTCTCGATTTGAAAAAGTAGTAGAAAATTTATTCTTATCAGCGCACGGACATTGATCAAAATAAAACTGAAATAGTGATCTACAAAGGGGCCATTTTAATATATGTGCAAAATTATTTCAAAATATCACATTTTTCCAAACTTATTAGATGGAAATAGTAAAAGAAATATGGATTCCAACTACGATTGCGACCATGAGCTTCCCAGAGTAAAGGCAACCAAAATGGCGCCGGCAATAAAACCGGGAGAAATCGCGTGCCGCCATTACGGAGAGCGGAGGAAACGCGGTCGTTCGAAGGAACGCCGACCAATAATGACAGGCAAAAATCGTACAAGCGACAGGGATAAGCGAATAACGCATCTCTCTCGCCAACGAAATTGTAATACGTATTTTGAATCATATGAGGTCGCCGTTATACGAGGCAGCGGCTGCCTGCAATATAACCATAAAATGCAGATAATAGTCGCTAGAAGGTATCGGAGGGTCCCACGGTCGTGAAACAGTAGGAGAAAGAGAAATACGGGGTGAACCGAGCACCGAGGACAAGGAAGGGTGAGATAAGTGCTTGTTGCTACAGACACTAAGCAATGATTCTGCGCCGCATTACTGCCAATTTTTCAAAATTTATTGATGATTTTGTGATTTATCTTTTTCTTTTTTTCACTTAACACGTTCACGACCAGCGTTTTTTCGTTGATGATCTTCGATCGATTCAACAAATCTTCTAAGTAATTTACCAAATCTTCCAAAAAGTTTAACAAACCTTCTAAATAGTTTAACGAATTCTAAAACAAATATTCCAATAGTTTTTCAATGCAGCAAATCGTCTAAATAAAATACTGAGAAAACAAAACTAAACCGAGTCATTGAACTCCTAAATATAATGCTGTATCTTATAAATCTAAATAACAGTAACTATAGGATTAAGTTCATTTTTTTATGTAAACCACAGAATTGTGGTCGTTACAAATATGTAGGTGCCTAATTGGTGTTGGTAGCGACCGTGTTAATAGGATTTCATTTGAAAGGAATAGATTTAACGATAAGTAAAATGTCACTACCGATTCCCTTTACACGTTTTATTATTCTTACGTAAAGCCTAATATTTCATTTATACTGCCGTTTCGTTGAAAGCAATTAATTACTTGCTGCTATATGAAATACGTAAAATGTCGGTCAAAAGACGATATACGAATTTATGATTTATGAAAAGGGATAATATTATTCTGAAACATTCGCATTTATGTTAAAATTATTGCTAAGGCGACGGTAATAATTAACGCTTTGTTTTTCTTTTGTAGTGTATTTTTCAAACTAAACCAAAGTTGCTAGACAACGTAAATACTTTGGAATCTATAATTTCTATGGTAATTTTAGAAATAATCAATCTAAAGAAGACCAAAATCTCGTAATTTGTCTTGATCTTACTAAGAAATAATTTGGTACTTTGTGTTTCTGTTTCATATAATGCGTAATAAAGATTTATATAATTAAAGAATATGAGACATTATTACTACTGTTTTATGAACTATAACATGCATTATTATACCGAAAATTGGTTCCTTTTTGTAATTACGCTACTTGTTGTGGTTAAACTTCGAGTGCAATCTGATTTAAACTTTCCCATGTACAAAAAGAATATTAAATAGTAAATAAGATTCCTAGAATAAAAATAAAAGCTAGAATTTTATATTTATGAGCGATCGTAAATAATAGACTCGAAGTCAACTTGTCAGAGTGAATTTTAAATATTCTCGACTATTAACCGTTGGAAGCTTCAACATTCTTCTACTGTGATCGAAAATAAATTTTTCTACTTATATGTACGATAATTAATTTGCATTATCAACTTCACATGTCACGTTCAAGGAAAATATTCCGGCGGAACACGTCGAACGATGAAATAACATTCGTACCGAGTGTAATCGTTAAATTTTATCGAACGGTATTTGTCATGCAAATGATACTTTCGCTTAATGAAATTGAAGTGTTATGGAAACGATCATGCCGAGTTCTAAGTACAATGCAACACGATAAAACAGTTTTCAACTAACAATAAAATACTTTCATGCTTCAACAAATAATTTCGACGAAAACAAGGAACAACGATACATGCGAGACATCGATCACAAATATTAAAATGTATCACAATAATTACATTACATCACAATAATTGATCTGTAATAATGGTTATCGTACCGAGGGCATCAAGGGTGCAAGCGTCATGATATGCTGAAATTACATCTCCGACAGAGTTTGTTATGTTGCACGCTGCAACAATAGAAAACATACGGCTACTTAATTATGTAGACATTTTCCATTTAATTTGTCCACATACGTATAAGTACATTATTCCACAGATAAATTTCAGGTGAAAGGAAGTTTTTCAAACCCTTTATCCGAAAAATATCTTCTGTGTGAGAATTGTGTCAAATAATTACGCGAGGAAGTAGTTTTTATAGTAAATATAATACAGATAATATAATGGGATACCACGGTGACGAATTCTACGAAATTCGTTTACTGGAAGTGAACCACCGATGAGATTTAACCCTTTGCCCTATGA